ATCATACTTTCAACCCATAACCCATTCTAGGGGACATATAACCTAAGAGGCTCCATATATAGTACCATTATGGAATTAGGTCCCAAAATCCATGATGTGGATGGTCTTTTGGGACCTAATTCCATAATGGTACTATATATGGAGCCTCTGGGTAATATCCTTTATAACTACCCCGGAACCTCCGAGTAGGAGCGCTCTACATCCGAAGCCAAGGCCTGCTGCCTTGCTCGGACCGGCACCGGAGCTTCTTTTCGACGGCGAAGGCGGCTAGAGCGCATTCACAACTGCCTACAGTACATCAGTACTAAGAAAGCCCTCTGAACCCCGAAGCCCTCAAATCTCGGCCCGCCCAAAATCCAAAACAAAACCCACCAGAATCCCGAAACCGTGAACCATTTCGAACCCAGAAGCTAAGCCCCATCCCACAGGCCCCAACCCTAAACCCTAAACCCTAAACCCAAGGAAAGATGCGGCAAAGAGGCGACTCCGGTGAGCCCTCGGCTGGCTCCTTGGTCACCTGTGGGGGCGTGGAGGCTTTGGCTGAGTGGTTTAGGGGCTGAGGGGTTTGGGGGTTGAGGAGTTTGGGTTTTTTGTTTTTTTCAGCCCCTTTTTCCACCTGCAGTGTCTCAACCACAGTCAGAAGGAGTTTGGGGGTTTAGGGTTTAGGGCTTAGGGTTCCGGGTTTAGGGTTCAGGGTGCAGGGCTTGGGGTCTAGGGTTTCGGCTTTAAGGCAACCCCCTTAATTAAGCGCGTGTAGCCCAAACGCTGAACCCAAAACAAAGACCTAAACCCGAAGCCCCAGAAACCCCGCCCAAGCCCCAAGCTCTGTATAAACTCCATGCCCAAGATCTTAAACCCAAAGCGCAAAACCCCAACACCCACACCCTGAACTCAACAATACTATACAAACCCTAAACCCCCTAAACCCCCTAAACCCCCTAAACCCTAAATCCTCATCCCAAAATCCGAAACAATCAACCTCGAACACGCAAACCTTAAATCCTGTGGGAAGCCCGGAACTGGCTTGTAGATCCCTTTAAAGGTACCCTTGTAGATCCCTCTAAAGGTACCCCGCAACTTTCGGAACCCCTCTGATGCTAGGATAGGAATAAAAAGGGCTCCCTTGTTGAAATTGGGTAACTGTGTAAGGAACCTAGGACTACAAAAAGGGAATAAGTACTAGACTACAAAAAGGGAACTAGGGTACTACTGGGCATCCTAGTGAGTAACCCCAAAGCATAAGTCTCATGCAACTTCGTAAATCCTTGAACGCCAGACTCCTGGCATGGCTACACAAAACCCAAGGAAATAAAAGTTTAAACTTTCAGAATCGACTACCTTATAAGAACCCCAAAAAGTTTAAAAGTTGAGTTTACGGCCAATAAGCAGAAGCCACCCTAAACCCAAAACCCTATAGACCCTAAACCAATAAGCAGAAGCCCCTAAATCTTAAACCCTAAAGCCGCCTGAACCAGCGATAAGTTCGCCAGCTTCAGGGCCAATCTTCGAGCATCCTGGAAGAGGCGACTCGGTGCTACTTGGAGGGGTCATGGGTAGTTACAAGGGTTCCTTTAAATGGTCCCTTTCAAGGGGTCTATAGGGAGTCTATAGGAGTATAGGGTTTAGGGCCTACTTGGAGGTTCATGGGTAGTTGTAAGTGGGAGTTTAAAGTAGGGTAACAATAATAACAACTCATGTATTAAGGGACTTGTATCCCCACTTAAAACTACCCATGAACCTCCAAGTAGGCAAGGTTCCCGAGTAAGCCCTTCATGACAAGGGTACTCTTTTCCTGCTATTCTGTCTTGCTAAGGGAACGAAGAAGGAAAGGGGAAAAGGGTGTTACTCAGGCACCTACTACGCATCAGAGAGTTTAGGGTTTTGTTTCTTGTTTGAGCGCGATTTTCCGTTTTGTGTTGCTGTTAGTGGGGTTTAGAGTCTTATAGCTTCGGGCTTAGAGTCAGCGACCTCTATCATATCGTTGGCTGAGGGGAGGCGTTAGTCTGTGTGTGTGTGTGGGTGACATGTTAAAGGAAGCGGGTCGCAGAACCTGATCGCTACTTGGAGGTTCATGGGTAGCTAGAAGTGGGGTTATAGTGGCTACTCTACTTATAACCCGCTTATAACTACCCATGAACCTCCAAGTAGACGCGACATCTACCTTTCAGCCCCGGAGGGCTTCTGAAACAACCCAGTGCGCACCAAGGGGCACTCCCCTTCTTCACTTCCACTTCCCAGCGGCCACGCTCATTCGCCACGGTCATGATCGTACCTCACAGACGCAAGGGAGGCAAGAATAAACCCCAAACCCTATAAACCCTAAACCCTATAAACCCTGAACCCCTCCCCAAGGTGCCCAGAGCCCGCGACTCTACAGCCTACACATGCGACCCCCAGATCCAAAGTGGGTCGAAGATGTTACTGGAAGGTTCATGGGCAGTTATATGTGGGGTTATAAGTATAGTATAATAAAATCATGATTAGAACCCCAATGGAGGGACTTATAATACCACTTATGACTAGCCGACTAGCCATGAAAACCCAAGTATGCACAGCAACATGTTAGGGACGCCATTGTACCGGACCCGGTTTAAGACGGAGGACCCGGAAAAACAGGAGTGAAGTAGGGCATGTAGTACCAGGATCCCCAAATCTACCGTCGCCGTGAGGCCCTAAGGCTCCCCAAACCCTAAACCCCTGAACACTAAAACCTAAATCGTGGTTTCCGCAGCGCACCTGTCTTGCCGTTGAGCTCCGGAGAGGACTGGAGACCCTGAATCTCGACCTTCCGCTGTTTTTTAGGGTTTAGTTTAGTAGGGTTTCTTAAGGTTTAGGATTTACGGCTTTTAGGGATTAGTAAGGCTTTTAGGGTGTTGGGGCTTAGGGTGATGGGTTGTGGGTCTCGGGGCTCGGGGTTCATTCGAACCAAGGGTCAAGGAAGTGTCCGGGGGAAAGCAGAGGGCTTCGAATAGAGGGTAGAGGGTTTAGGGTTCAGGGATTACTGAAATTATTAAGGGTTTGGGTGCCAATAGGTTTTCTTACTGAAGCCTGATTTTTGGAATCGGGTCCTGGGCTGGGCTGGTTGTTGGGCGGAAGTTTTGGCTGGGATCTGGGGCTGGGCTGCCTGGGCTGGGGGCTGGGGCTGGGGCGTGGGGGTTGGGGAAAGTTTTGCTTAGACTTGTTTTTCAGGTGTGGGCGGCTGGGGGGTGTGGAGCAGGGGGTATGAGGTGAGCTGGGGGTTGCTGGTCTGCGGTTGGGCGGCTGGGGTTTCTTTCTGACCGGAAGGCAACTGCTTTGCTGGGGGTTGCGGGCTATAGGTGTGGGCTGGGGGTGGGGGGGAGGGGCTGGCTGTCCTCTAGGTGGATTTGTTGAGCTTGAAACTGACAGTTTTTCTATTTATTTATTTATTGACGTCGCAGGGTTTGGGGTTTAGGGTTCGGGGTTTGGGTTTCAGGGTTTGAGGTCTAGGGTTTGTGGTTTGGGGTTCAGGGTTTAGGGTCCAGGGTTTGGGGTGTAGGGGTGGTGCACAGGGTTATAGCAGAGCTTTGCCAAGAAAAAGACTGAATAGATTGATTTCCGCTAAGGCACTAGGGTTGTCTGCAAGAAACACGGCATGCGTTCAGCTACGGCTACCGGTCAGATCGAAATCCTCTTCGCCACGGGGTAAGCTGAAAACCGGGAAGTCCCAACCCTAAACCCTAAACCCTGAACCGTAAACCGACCTTAAGCTCTGGTCCCCAGCCTTGATGCCGAAAACTTTTAGCGAGGTGAATTCGAAATTTTCCATGCTCCAATGAAATCACTGAACACTAGAAGAATCAAAATCACTGCCTTGTTCTCAAGCCGTTGACTTTTGCGTTCATCTTTTTCGTTCCCATTATTCTCAGTCACCGGGATTAGGCCATAAGAACTATAAAACTAGTAGGATCCTTATTATAAGGACTCCAAAATAAGGTACCCCATAGACCAGAAAGCACCCTGAACCCTTCTCCTGGCCCAACATGCCTTGATGCCGGGAACCAGTGCACGTGCGAAGGACTCCTGGCAGATGCGCACGAGATGGTCCTTGAGAAGATCTGCCTGAAACCGCACAGCCCTGCAGCAGAAACACACATTACAGCACAAAGCACTGAAAAGCTGCCCTGGCCGGACCTTTGTTTACTGGCTCAACATGTGCTGCCAATCTACCTGCGCGAAGCTACTCCTCCACATACTCCTTCCTGCGCTCCTCGATAATTGCAGCACAAATTGACATGGCCATCCATGCCGTGCCACCCATCACCACTACGACAGCAGCCACACCTCCTGCGAGCTTAAGACCTGGAATAGACGTTGCCCAACTTTTAGTGGGCACCACACACATTACAGTGAACACGGTCATCGTGATTGCTGCCCCAAGCAGTCCAATCTCTGTTTCGTTGAACTTTTCCTGGGTATAGGGCCGCGACTTGTAGTACAGTGCTGCTGACAGAATCAAGACCAATGCCACAGATTCCAGCTGAAACAGTGGGTGAAGGGTGACAGGGAATACCGCGGAAAGCATGCCCAAAGTCATCTTGCGGATCAACCGCTCCACTTCCCATGCCGCAAACTCTGGCTTGTAGGGTGCTGCTAGGTAGAGAACATGAAGGGCAGGCTTCTGGTCTGAGCGCACTGCCCTGAGCCACAAGCAGGTGGCACCAGTGAAGCAAACGGCTAGCACCGCGACAGGTTTGAGCAGGTAGCCCCAAAACTGTCCATCAGGAATTTGGTAATAGAATTGAAGAGGATCGCATCTTGCTGGTCTGAAGACAAGAAGAAGCAAGCTAACTCGTGCAACAACTGCGGGGAGGAAACAGTTCATCCCGACGATGAGGCCGAGCCAAAATCCCTTCATGCATCCCAGCATGAACACCAGCAGCAGCGGAGTGGTGACGACTAGAGCGAGATTGGCCCAAAAGAACGTGACATGTGGAGTATAACCAAACACGGCCATTGTAATGCAAGGCATGGGTGTGCCTACGGCGCTTTGGCCACTGAATACATCAATCGCAATACCCCAACCAAGGAGAAGGTCTCGGAGAAAGGCGGCCTGCCCTGCAAACCAGTCAGCCTGTGCAAGGGCCGCCAGAAACGTAGCTGGCACCTGTAAACCAAGCCCAGGCAGAAGTGGGACATTTGACCTTGAGGAACGGGTCGCCGCCAAAACGAGGTACGTAGCCAGGCTCTTAACATGAGGGTCCGGTGGCCCCAAGGGAACACATCGCTGTCTGATTCTCGTAGGCCAGGCGTCCTCCTGCACGCTCAGAGACGTCAGCTACTAAACTCTAAACTGCACGGAAAGCATTGTTGTGGCGGCAGCTGTCTACAACACATTCCGGTTGATTCATTAAGAACCAGAGCCGCCTACATGCAAGAATCCCCCCTACATGCAACAAGCATCAATATGTTCAACTCCCTCTCCCGACCCACCGTTCAAGCAACACCAGGCACCTTCGACCCCAAGACTCGCTGACTTTGGCCCTCGGAAATTCCAAAAACTCAGGCGCAGGGCACTTTTGCACAAGTGTTACATTGCAGATACATTCTTATTATACTTGTCACGATCGTGTCACTATTCTCGTCCTGGACAGGTCGCTTCGTTTGGGCAGAAGTAGGTGCGGTTGACCGCATCAAGTTCCCGGAAGTTGGCGACAGAAGACAGGTTCGGGACGGTGAGCATGTAGCCCGCCTGCGAAGTTTCAGGGCGTGCGGTGCGTGAGATACCGTACGCGGCCAGGCTGCAGCAACAATCACAAAAGCGTGACAATGTCCACAGTGATAGCGGTGCTTTATGGTTTCAGGTCTTCCAGCTTTGGTCCGTCCGCGACCTGCATCGTCACAGACGCAGCGTCACACGTAAGCGCCGCCTCTGGACAGGGCAAACAACGTGGGTTCCGCCATGGCAGCGGCTGGAATGACCTTAGCTCTGTCTGTAGACTTTCTCAATGGAACATGGCATCCACAAAAATGTGCCACAGCCCATCAAATTACCAAGGCAGTGAAACTCAGCTAGGACACCCAGGCTCACACAGTCTGCACGAAAGCTCTGTCGTGAGCCTTCGCAAGGACCTTACCTCCCGCCCAGGGGGGCAAACAAGAGTGGGCACCTGTATGGTATTAGCATGCAGCACGCACTCGTGAACTGCCACGCAGTCCACTTCTGATATGGAAATATTCTGCGCCATCACCTCGCCATGGAAGCCAGAAGAGGGTCCACCATACAAGAACGTCAAATGCTGAATTGCCACTGTGCCCTTGGAACTTAAGATGTCTCCAACCACACCAATGCACATCTCAATCTTGACGTGGTCAAGATCAGCACCTAGCGTGGTGTCAAAGGCTATGCCTCGGAAGGCTTTGCAGGACTGAAACTCCATTCGGCCGCGGCTGTGGGTCAGCGTTCCCGTGCCGTCCCAGCCACCTCCAGCTTTGCCAGCAGTGCACTTGTCAAAAATGACATCAATCTTGTCGAGCCTGACCTTTGCATCGGTTTCATGATGAAGTCCACCGCCGTACTTGCTGGCTTCGCATTGCTTGAATGTAAGACTGCCAGCTTGCGCTGTGAGCTCAGACCTTTTGTGCACATACACCCCTCCTCCTTCTTTTTGGGCACTGCAGTTGAGGAAGCTCGCATTGGACTGCATCAAGCCCAGTGCGCCATTCACATGCAAGCCTCCCCCGAAGCTGGACGAACAGGAGCGGAAGGCCAAGCTCGCTTGGGTGATGCTACAAGAGCTGGTGCTGCAGCGAGAGGACTGGAGGGAAAGGCCCCCGCCCTTCCATCTACTCGCACAATCTTCGAAGCGCATGGTTCCACCATCCATGTAGAAGCTCCGACCGACCTACAAGGGCATGAGGCAAGCTACACTTCACACTAATTTCATATCCCCAAACCGACACTGCACGAAACACGGCTGCTGTGCAAATGCTTGCTAGCCCCAGTGACGTGCATGCCACCCCCTCCAAGTCCGCTTGTGCACGCACTGACGTGCATGGACCCTCCTTTCTGGCGATATCCTCCCTCCACCTGGGCTGCACTCACACCGAACCTACACATGCGTCACTTAGACCTCAAGCTCCGGCTGACAGAAACAGGTCTTTTAATTAACTTGCTTCGGGCTGCATTGAGAGCTCCGCCGAAATCAGTTGCGGCGCAGCCATTGAACTCTATCTCAGCATCTTGCACCAGCAGGGACCCTTGAACCGCAAGGCCTCCCAGAATTGATGCCGGAGGAATTCTTCTGACTCCAGCTCAGAAAGTAGTGCTGGAGCTTCTTCTTGTTCTTCAAGCCTCTGATAATTGCAGATGCTGTGCAGTATGTGAAAGAAGCCGCTCCGGAGGTCAGTGTCGCGCTGCCCTTGACAAAGACGGCCCCACCTCGCTTCGCATGGCAGTCCTCGAACTCCAACTTTCCTCCCGCAACACTCAGGTCTCCCGTGGTCCTCAGAGCTCCACCATTGCCAAACGAGCGGCAACCGCGCATTCGGAGCAGCTCCATCGTGAGTGTGAGGCTGCCCTTGACGACGTTAAAGCAGCTGTCGTCACCCATGTCTGCCTGGGCCAGAACCTCGAGTTGCACGGTCTCACTAGCACATTTTCCTGAGGCTACAAACGAGTGCGGACTTTGAAGCCAAGCACCTCAAGGCTTCCGGTCAAGTGGACGTCGCCCAGGAATTGCAGCGGTGCGCTCAGCATTAGCCTAGTACCGGGCCTCGCGTCAATGATGCAGCCCTGCGATGCTTGCACCACGCGCTTCGAAGCGATCTCGTAGGGGCCGCTGAGGGGGATGCGACCTAGGCACAGGCATTAGCACGACCCTGGAAGGAACAACAAGAGCACAGGTCAGGGCGTGTGCACTTCAGAGTGGAGCATGGACGTTGCATAGTGAGCAGGAAACCAAAAAGTTTCTGCCTCAAGGCCTACATGGCCTACCCATTAAACCCGCCGGCCTGCGCAGGTTTTCGGAAATTCCGAGAGCGCAAGCTCATCCGGAGTCCCCAAGCCTCAACTGCATCGGGCCGGGAGCTCAAAGAAAGGCTCATGGACCCTAACCCAGGTATCATGGATTACTAGTGCTGGTGTGGGGCTGCCTTGTGGGTTCTCTCGGCCTAAGATCCACTGAAGTAAGCAAGATTCGCAGCGAACCGCCATCAGGCGAGCTGTCAATATCAAGAAACCCCCCCCAGGCGGGAGGTTTCTGTTTAGGCGTGACTCGAGCCTCTTTTGTTTAAAAGGTATGGCTTAGCCCTTTGGTGCTTGTAGGTAACAAATGAAATGTTGTGCATATTTGTAATTTACAGCTTTTGTAAGTGCTCAAGCACATGGCATACTGTGAATCAAAGCACTTGCAACTGTTGTATAGGCCGTGGCCCAAGCACGGAACTTACAGGACTCAGTCAGAATTTCAAGTTTGCTGCTGCATGTAAAGTGCAACTGTCGGGTGCGGAATAAGGTGAAGCTTCAGACAAGTCTGAAGGTCACAGGAACCACTGCTTGTTTCAATGGCGTCGAAGCAAGCTCGTTTGCTGCTCTGTGAAGCAAGCATTCTCGGCTTTTAGAAAGCGGGGTTTGGGAGGGGCGTAGCCCCCCACCCCCCATTTCTGGTGCAAATAGACGATGGTTGGCTCATCCCCCCCTTCCCAGAGAATGCCCACATCCTGTAACTCCTCAAGCACACGAAAAACGGCGAATCCGCCGAGGCCACAGGCCCAGGCGTTCGTTTGCGACCTGATTTGTCGGCCTCCCCCCCCCCCCTCCCAGGCCTCCCCCTGTGCCGATACACCCCCAAGGAATACTCCTTGTGAGGAGGTGTATGACCAGTTATTCCCTAAGGATCAAAGGGCAGCGCCCTGCACACGGACAGTAGTTGTTTTGTCTTGCTACGTAAGGAGAGCTTGTCTTGTCTCAATATGGTAAAACCACTGTGAGCCAATGGGCAGCGGAATGTATATGTATGAGCATGCAGCCATTGCTGTAGGTACCTGTTAGAGCTACCCCTTTAGAGGTTTATGGTTTCAAACAGACACTAATTTTCTTTTACCGGAAGCATGGCCGCACATTCACACATATACTATTATTGAGGGGAACGCAGAAGGGGGCAACGGTCTGTCAGGCAAAGGTTGACCCTTCGACGAAGTTCGTTTTTTCAAAAACCCTTCGGCGAACTTCTGCGAACGTTTTGGGGGTTCGTGAGGGGTTCGTGGGTTGTTCGGTTACAAGATAAAGTTCTGATATGTTGTTAAAATTCCCAAGTATATTAAAAGCTTCAATAAGAATTTACGACACTACACCCCGGATAGTCTGTGAAGTTTATATGTCAGCGAGATGAAATGATGATGATTTGCCACGCCTTTTTCTCTGCATCTTGCAGGGATTTCCTGCGAATGTCTTTCCAAAAATACGGAGTTTCTTGCGTTACTCTGGCTCATTAGCAAAAATTCTTGCCAGGGCCCGACAGTCGTTCAGTGCAGGTCCAGGAAGTGCAGAATCCTGGCGGGCGGGAGTGTAAAATCACAAATGAGGTGCGTCAAAAGGCTTGTTGCTCTGGCAACCCGTTTTCTCTCTTGCGACTTCTGCGGCCAGTGAATAAGGCAGCGTTTTATCGCAAACGGCCCGGCAAGGCGGTTGATCGCCAAAACTTGCCAGGTTCAGCGGCCGAGGACTCGATTAAAATTTCTTGCCTTCAGAAACAGCGGCAGCGGAATTCGGCAGAGTCAGGCCGGGGCGCTCTTGAAATACTTCCCTGCTCTCTGACCTACAGTCTCGGAAGACTCAGAAGCAGGGGTAACCCGAGAACACAAAAGCATGTGACACCAACTTTCAGCGATGCATTTTTTATGTTAAAAATAATAATGCTTCTTCTGTGTTCTTGCCCCTGAAACAATCTCAGTCAAGCTTACTTTGGCGATCCTCGCCCTCCTGATGCTGGCGACTTGATCGAGCTGACGGGCGATCCGGCGAGTGTCTTCGGACTCTTGCTAGGCGACGACTTGGAATTGATCTTGCGCTTCGGCGTCCGCGGGGGAGTGTTCTTGCCGTTCCCAGCTGCCGGTTGAAGCGCAGTCTCCGATTTCGCCTGCCACGATTTCGTCTTCTTGCCATCACCAGAACCGGCTTCGGGGGAGGAACCCGTCGGGCACTCCTTCAGAAAGAACGGGCTCTCGGGCAAGGTCTTGCCCTCGTTGATGTCGGAATTCAGGATCTTGCACACCGAGATGTCCACCAACCCAGCACCTGACAGAATTGCTATGCAACGAACAACTGAGTTGGAAGAAGTGGTTTCAACATGTTCTGAATAGACGAGAGAACTAGAGAAGCGCGTGCTTAGATAACTTGATCTGAAAGATTCGCACATTGCAGCTGAGAAACTCAAGGATGTGTTGAAGTTTCTTGCGCACATGACCTTGATGTTGTCGATGTTCTGCATCTCCGGCGGAAGCTTAAACATCAAGTCGGTCTGCATGTACCGCAACTGACTCTTGCCGTCGTCCTGCTTCTCCAGCCTCCAGTAGCTGCAGGAGGGATCGTCAACGAACTCCTTGAGAACGCGGACTCTTGGGCTTGGGTGAATTTAAGGCCAACCGATCCGACAAACAAGGCAACGGTTAAACCGAATTCATTCAACTTGAATTTTCACTGACTTGGACTCACGACCCCAGCCGCATGTTGGGCCTAAGAGGCTGAGCAATGAACAGGCGGCGGAAAATCACGATGTTGCAGCAGGATGCCTTACTTAGGCGGTTAAACGAGTAGGTCCTGGAAGGTCGTCTCTGGCCCCCGTGGCTCCCAGGTTTCTAGCCGGCTGCCGTAGTCTGTGAAGCGCTTCATCATGAAGTCCTCAAGCGCGACCATGCTCTTGCTCGGCAACGCGCTGTTGACGTCGCAGTGAGTGATGAACCTACGGCGAGTGAGGTGTTTTGCACTTTTCTTGCTTCGGCAGAGGCAAAGAAGATTTGAATGAAAGATTGTTTTACATGTACTACTGATTCACAGCCAAGCTACGCGAGCAGTGTCGCCAGGAAAGCACGCTCTATCTTGCATCTGAAGTTCTTCTGCTGTTTGTCCAAGAACGACATCACTTTGGGAATCATCTTGCAAAGCAGCGGTCGCGTTTGCTCTTGCACAAGCAATCGGAACTTGTTCATGTAGGGCTTCAGCTTCTGCTCCGACGAGTCGTCGTCGCCCACGATCTTGCCGGAGTCCAGCGAATCAAAGCTTCCCATACCTTTATGCCACGTGCGCTCTAAAGACAATGAATAACAGTCAGTCATTTCACTCAAGTTCAACTGAATTTAAAGAACCTAGCTCGCTAAAGCTTCACAGTACTATTTTTCTTTCCCAAACATACCCAAAAAAACGAAGAACTAAAATTCTCAGCGACTGAAGCCCCGATGGATGTGTTCCAGTGCTTTCGGCCGTAGGGCAAACCACGCATCGAGCTCCTGCCTCATCGTGACCAGTCTGTTCTCTTGCGCTTCAAGATTCGCTTTCTGCTCTTTGCGCAAGGCTTCCTCCGCCTTGTCCTCAGTTCACGAAGAAATATTCGGACATGTGATTAGCTTGATTGATGGGATCATATGTTTAAAGTTAAGGGGGGTCGGAAGGTTGAAGTGTAGACGCCTTGCTTGCAGACAAAACACTTTCAGCTTCTTCTCCTTCGAAAGCGCCTTCTCTTGCACTGCCTTGGTTTTTGACTGGATGCAGCTCTTCTTCGGGGCCATGGCTGCGCAAGCTCGGCCAGCAGGAAACAAAATTATCCAAGACTGAGATGCTTCAAGGCTTCTCTTACTTGCTATCGAGCCGGACATGTCACCGGCAGTGATGACGGCTGGGCCGGTGCAA